CAAAAGACCTGAACTCTCTTCTTTGTTAACATCATTTCTGTACATTTATTAGAGAGTTTGTACAGTTTCCAGAGGCATCCAGTTTAGGAAGTGGATGCCATTCTTGCTTCCCAACATGAATCAATCTAGAAGCTCATCCAACCACTGTACATAGTGGGTAACCATTATGGTATTTGACACGACTTTGGGATAGTGTTCAGCAGCACAGCAAGTCCAAGTTGTTCAGTACAGCAAATAGACAAATGATTGCTGTGTTTTTTAAAGAATATTAATTCTAAAATCAATAAATTTGGCCCATAGGACCTACAGGATTTTAAAGCCACACCTTGAGCAGGCCTCCACCATTAGGCTAAGGCTCAAGGGCCACTACTTTTGAGGAGAGGGGGAGAACATTAACACACAACAAACACAGCCCCAGAAACTTTGCATAGGTTAATAATTTAAAACATTTTACAACAGTGGTCCTAGTTGAAAATGACAGCAGCAAGTAGTTTCTGAGCCTCTGTGCTACTGTTTCAGGACCACACTGTTGTGCCTATAGTGAGCAATACTTATGGGAAGGAAGACCTAACTATTATGTGGAGAACCATCTCTTTCTTCATAGGGCTCCTATCAGTAGGGGTAAGCATGTTGAATACTTTCCTGATGTCATAGCCCAGAAAGCACCAGGAACTCTGGTTTGTTCCTATCTCTACTTTGGCATCAAGTCCATATCCTTTTCTCTGGGTTCACAGTAAACATCTGCTACTTCATAATTCACATATGAATCTGCTTCAAACTAGCTATGAAGAGGTCTAAAGAGAGCTTAGGCCACTGTTGGGGACCACAGCACTGGAACTATTTTAGACCACCATTATGCATTTGGATGAAAACTGTATAAGAGCTGAAGTTCATTTTCATTTTTATAAATGATCTTCCATTCCTTTGATTATGGTAAGAGATGGCTTAAATAAATATATAAGCACTCTTCTGTCAATTTGCTGTAGTGAGGTAACCTGTGGTTGCTCTGATGCTGAAACTTGAGCCATTGGTGTGTCAAATGCCCTAACGGTTATCCATGGTGGACAGTATTCAGTGAAGCTGTCAGTTTATGACAGGTTTGGAAGCAGGGGTAGCATCCACTTCCTAAACAACATGCCTCTGCAAACTCTATGAACTTTGATAAATGATGATAGTTATAAAAAGGCTTTAAGTCTTTTGTTCATAGGGTCACTGTAATACACAAGCAAATTGTTGACAGATGTTGAAGCCATATTTTTCACGATTGAAGTAGTATTAAGTGTTGTGTGACAATGAATTAGAACTGACTGATAGCAAACTCTCCAATGGGTTTCAGAGGCAGTAAATAGCATGCAAAGAGAATGCCAAATCCTTTTCCCGTGGAGCAGCTCATGGATTAGAACCTTGTGCCTTGAGGATTCAAGCTCAGCTTCTTACCACCAGGCTGCCAGAACTTATTTTTAGTGTACAGACAATATAAAAGCAACAGAAAGAGAGTAAAAGGATCTATATTGATAACAGAGTAGAATGAGAAACATACATATAAACTTGTATTTATCTTAAGCTAGACATAATTAATTCAGAAATATCTACAAATATGAATATATAGACAGGGTAATAGGCACATATGTTTCCTGAAAGTATCTGGAAACAACACTTAGACCCTCCCATTCTCTTATTTCGATCCAATCAGACCTGACTCAAAGAGTGAGAAGGAGTGTAGTCTACCAAGTAAGTTCGGAAGCTTATTGATAAGGTAACTAGCAACTTTTGTATGGGGACATGCAAATAAATTATGTAGAACACTAACAAGAGAGTTGGCCAATTTTCCTTTATCACTAGGCTTAAACTGAGCAGCTCTAGAGGTAGGAAGAAAGCAGAAATCTCACCATCATTAAAATAAAAGAAGAAACTAAGATTATAATGTGTACTTTTGGACCAGAGATTGAGATATAGCAGTAATAACTACAACAGAGGTGGTGGAGAACCAGAGAAAAATGTGAGGCAGAGCTCCAGAAAGGTGTGAAACATAGATGTACCAGATTACCCAGTCAACAGAGTAATTTACTTCTGCCTAATCTTACCAGAACACTTGACCGTGCTTATGAAAAACCTATATTTGGACCAGGAGGCAGTCATCAGAACAGAGCAAGGAAACACTGCATGGTTCAAAATTGGAAAGGGTGTGCGCCAAGGATGTGACCTATCTCCATATCTTGTCAATCTATATGCAGAACAGATTATCCGGGAGGTGGGGCTCTAGGAGGAGAAATGTGGCATCAGGATTGGAAGTAGACACATCAGCAATCTGCATTATGCAGATGACACAACGCTACTTGCTGAAATGGAAGAAGACCTGAAGAGCTTGCTACAGAGGGTCAAAGACTGAAGCCTTCAATATGGATTGAAACTCAACATCAAGAAAACAAAGATACTAACCACTGGGACAATTGGCAGCATCATAATAGATGGTGAAGAGATTGACGTTGTTAATAGCTTCAGCTTGCTTGATTCTACAATCAACACTCTTGGTACCAGCAGCCAGGAAATTTAAATACGATTTACATTGGGAAATTCTGCTGTCAGAGACCTATCCACAGTATTGAAGAACAATGATGTCAGCCTGAAGACTAAGGTGTACCTGATACAGGCCATGGTCTTTTCAATTACTTGCTATGCATCAGAAGCTGGACAATGACTAGAAATTATAGAAGGAGAATTGATGCCTTCAAGGTGTGGTGCTGGAGAAGAGTATTGAATATACCACGGACTGCTAGGAGAACAAACAAGTTTTTCCTGGAGAGGCTGAATCCAGGCTGCTCCTTGGAGGTAAGGATTCTGAAGCTTCTTCTGACATACTTTGGATATGTTGCAAGGCAGGATGAGTCTTTAAAAAGGTACGTCGTGTTTGTGAAGGGTGGAGGAATGCAGGACGGCAAGACTCTCAATGAAATGGATTGATTCAGTGACTGGGGAAATATTGACAGGTTTATCAGAAATAATAAGATTGGCACAGATTAGAGCAGTGTTTAGGGCTGTTGTACATATGGTTACGAAGAGTCACAGGTGACCCAATGACACATAACAACAATCTTACCAGTAGAGGAAGGGATAGAAAGTGAGTTAGGAGTTATACTGCCAATTCAAAGGCAGATGATCACTCTCCTCCCTTATAATTTATATCATCTGAAAACCTATTAGAAGACCAGCTATGCATCTAATTCCAACTTCAATGGCAGTGAATAAATGAGTGAGTAAAAAGTGTTTATCACTTGCGTGAGGCATAGTCCAAAGTCTCAAAGCCAGCTAGAAAGGTCTGGCACTGAACATTTCTGTGGAAAAAACCATCCTGGACAAGGAACTATATTCTGAGTGGGTTTGGCCTGTTAATTCTTTAATACAACCTATACCTGTATTGCCTGTGATTCCCATATAGCCGTTCCAATGAATTAGTGAACTTGCCAGAAGAGCAGAGAGAGCCACAGTAGGGAGAAGTGACAGAACTGATAGAAGAAGGTGCGAGTGTTCAGGAATGTACCTGATATCATAGGAGTTATCTTTATACTGTTGATGTTCTCAATGAGAATTTTCTTCCTTATGGAGTTCATGGAGAACAGATTATACTACTTCTCTCCCAACCACACTGTTTTCACACCTTAATATGATACAATAAGAATGACACTTAAACTTTATGTTGTTGTTTGGTACCGTTGAGTCGTAGACGACTCATAGCGACCCTATGACGAACGGCCTGAGCACTGTTCATACATAGAGTTTCCGGAGGCAAGCCATTTCGGAAGTGGATGCTGCTCCTGTTTCCAGGCTTGATTTAGTCTGGAAGCTCCAGCCAACACTGTCCACCATGGGTGCCCATTACCACGATTGGCACATCACATCATAGGAGTTAGCTTTATACTGTTGATGTTCCCAAAGAGAATTTTCTTCCTTATGGAGTTAGTGGAGAACAGATTATACTACTTCTCTCCCAACCACACTGTTTTCACACCTTAACATTATACAATAAGAACTACACTTAAACTTTATAGGATTATTAAAAAGAAAGGGAACCCCAAATAAAAAAAAAGAAAATAAGTGATGAAAGCTAAGGAAATATGAATGAATTATGGGCTTTAGTAAATGATAGTTTTAGGCTAGTTTTCTTATTGTGCCTAATGAATTGTATCAATGTAAAAATTTAATATGAGGAATTGAATGTAATATATACTAAGCCAGTGTACGGTATTCATTATCTATGACTATTCCAAAATAAAAAAAATTAAAATAGTAATTTAAAAGTCATCTTGCAAATTAGAATGAGTCATAAGAATTATTTGCTTATATGTTTGTTGTACAAAAACTTAAATCATACCTCTTCCTTGTGCTAAGTATTGTGGATTGTCTAAAGATTTAACAGTAAGAAAAAGAAACTGATTTCACAATGAAATGACTGATGAAAAATGAAAATATTATAATTCATTGGAGATCTCCTGAAGTTGGCTAATTTTAAAGGATAGTGAAATATAAATTTGAGTCAGCAAAGTAAAAGAGGAAAGGAGGTAGAAGTTAAACTACTCTGGAGAAAAACAACGGTTGTGTATTTAGTCAAAGAAAGTACTGAATTTCAAGATCTTAGTAAACAAAAAAATAAAATTCAAGAACATTGGAGTTCATAAAAACAAAAAAAATGTTTCAACATTAAGCAGGAAATCAAACTGAGAAATGTGTTACAACTGTAAAATACATTGAATTTGTGTTATAGTGGTAATATGAAGCCATAAAAATGTTTAACACAAGTGAATAACCATCTGATGGAATTTCAGAATGTTCTGGCAGCTTTACAGAATGTGGACTGGAGCACAGCAAGAGTGGAAGTAATGGGCTGTTGTGGCAATAATCTAGGTGAGTGATAATGATGCCTCAAGTGTTTTACTGATCTCTTTGAATAGAGCAGTTTTTTTAAACTTTAGTAAGGATCCTTAGGAGTAGTTTTCATGGCAGATATGCCCAGATTTCTTAATTCAGTAGCTCTCAGCTGCTACCTAAGAATTTGCATTTTCACAAGTCCCCAGGTACTAGCAACCCTTTGTACAGTAGCTCTGAACTCTGCACTATCCTGAGCCAATCAGTGTCACTGACACACCTACCCTGCATGACCAAACTATATGAGACAGCTTCAAAATCCTTCCTTCCAAGGAGCAGCTTGGTTTCACCCTCTTTAGGACAGATCTATTTGTTCTCTTTGCAGTCTATGGTATGTTCAATAACCTTCTCCAGCACAATTCAAAGGCATCAGTTTTTCTTCTTTTGAGCTTCTATCCATATTGAATACTTCAGGTCCTCGGTTTCTTCAAGCAAGGTGTGTCATACAGAAATCATTATAATCAAGTTAGATTGATATCTATCTATCTATCTATCTATCTATCTATCTAATCTATCTTAGCTAGCTAGTTAGCTAGCTATCCTTCCATCCATCATCTAAAAATCCCCCTCACTTTACAGCCATTAAGTCATTTCTTACTCATAACATTTATTGTTGTTGTTGTGCCATTGAGTCACCTGCAACCCGTAGCAACCGTATGTACAGTTGCTCTGACACCTGCCGTAATCTGAGGCAGTCCCACTGACTCAGACATACCTATTTCCTTTAACCCAGTTGTCAATCCATTTCATCTGGGGTCTTCCTTTCTGAGCTGTCCCTCCATTCTTACAAGCATGATGTCCTTCTTCAAAGACGAGTCCCTCCTGGCCACAAACACATATTTGTGAGATGGAACTTTAAAATTCTTGCCTGGGAAGAGAAACTTATTTTCACCCTTGCCAAAACAGACTTGTTTGTTTTCTTGGAGTCCACGGTATGTTCATGACTTCTCCAGCACCACAACTCAAAGGCATCAATTCTTCTGTCATCCCTAGGCATTGTTCAGCTCTCTGATGCATAGCAACTAATTACAAAGACCATGGCCTGGATCAGGTATACCTTAGTCTCTAAACTGACATAATCCCTCTTTAGGACATCGGAGAGGTCCCTGACAGCAGACTTTCCCAATACCATTTTTCTTTTGATTTCCTGACTGCTGGTAAAAGAGTGTTGGTTGTGGAACCACGCAGGTTGAGGATGTTAACAATTTCAATCTCTTCACCATCTATCATGGTGCTACCAATTGGCCCAGTGATGAAACTCTTTGTCTTTTTGATGTTGAGTTTCAATTCATATTGAAGACTACAGTTCTTGATCATCTACAGCAAATGCTTCAGGTTCTCCTCTGTTTCAGCAAGTAAGGTCATGTCATCTGCATATAGCAGGTTTTTGAGTCTTCCTCCAATCCTGATGTCACATCCTTCCTCAAATAGATGCTCCTCCTGAATGATCTGTTCCACATACAGATTGAAAAGTTATGGAGGCAAGACACATCCATGATACAACTCCTTTCCCAATTTTGAAACAATTAGTGTTTCCTTGCTCTGTTCTTATAACTATCTCCTGTTCCAAGTATACTTTTGACATTAGCACAATCAAGTGTTCTGAGATTTCCATTCTTCTCTAGGTTAGCCACAATTTTTTGTAATCAACACAGTTCAAATGCCTTTGCATAGTCAGTTAACACAGATAATCATTCTTCTGATACTCTTTGTTTCCAGCCAAAATCCATCTGACATAGGTGATAATGTCTCTAATATCACAGCCTCTTCAAGCTGAGTTTGTAGTTCTTTTATAATCTTCAGCAGGATTTTGCTTGGATGTAGTATTAGTGACATTTTTATATAGTTTTCACACTTTGTTAGGTCTGTTTTTTGGAATGGGAATAAATATGGTCCAGTCAGTTGACCAGGCAGTTGTCCTTCAGATTTTTTGGCATGACCTGGTGGGCATGTCCAGGGCAGCTTCTGGAAACATGCTGGAATTATTTGTAGAAATACATCAATTGGTATTCCATCTTTCCTGGGGTCTTATTTTTGTTAGTTCTTTCAGAGGTGCCTGAACATTCTTCATTTCTCTTAATCACATCTAGTCTAATAAAATTCTTTTGTATCAGTCCCTGCTGCTGCTTCTGGTTGCGAGAGTTATAGCTTCAAGGTTATTTCGTCAAGCTGGAGCATTGGCCGCTCAGGCCTTGAGGGCCCACAGGCCCAATGGCGTCGCCGTCGTGCACTCGATGGCGTCTGGAGGTGGTGTGCTTACCGATGATGATCAGGCGACAGGGTTGGAGCGGGAGGTCATGATGGCTGCCCGGAAAGGCCAGGATCCATACAATATGCTTGCTCCAAAGGCAGCTGCAGGCACTAAGGAAGATCCTCATTTAGTTCCCTCCATCAACAATAAGCGAATAGTAGGCTGCATCTGTGAAGAAGACAGCAATGTTGTGATCTGGTTTTGGCTACGCAAAGGTGATGCACAGCGATACCCTAATTGCTGGACCCATTACAAGCTGGTGCCCCACCAGTTAGCTCACTGAGTGGGCCCCTAGTTGTGCTCATGCTCACACTGATGTGGTCTAAATGTGCTGGAATGTTTCCTTCTTTCTAATAAAGACTGGCCACTGCTTTGGCTCCTTCTCCCATAAAAAAAAATTCTTTTGTATCAACTAATTATTTTTGGTACAGTAACGCCGCATACTCTATTTTCTTTTAGTGCTTTCTGGATCATTCAACATTCTGTCCAGTGTCCCTAAGTATTGCAACTCAAGGCTTGCATCTGTTCATTAGTTTCTTCAGCTTAAATGCTAAGTTTGTTCATCCCTTTTTATATTCTTACTCAATATCTTTGCATATTTCATTATAATAGTTTGCTTCCTGAGCTGTATTTAAAATCTTCTTTTCAGCTTCTTCTTGCTTTCTTCCCTTTTCTT